TATTTGTTCGAGCCGATCCAGTTCATTAGCACAATGGTCTCTATCGGCTAATCTTATGCTCCGGATATTCATATATTTTAAAACGCCAACCTTAGTTTTATAACTATGGTTCGAGTAGAAATTAAAAAGAAGACCAGCAATCGTCAGCTTTCTATATACATCCCTGTTCAACTTCTTACCTGCTCTGAACACTAAAACAGCTAAAAAGGCAATTTATAATCAGTCAAGTTAATTAAGAACAAGTAACTATCTAAACTATCTTTACCATGCTGCCATATGGCAAGGAAGTCATCTATATATCTAACTAACAGTTTCGGAGTCAATCTTATCTCTCTTACAAATATTTATTGATAATAATTATTCTCTAGGTTTGATTAAAATAATAACTAATAGCTTTTTGAATAGTGCATACGTAAGGAAAGATAAGGAGACCTTTTCCCATGTTTTGTCTTTGCCTTCGTTTTGTTTCTTTAAAAAGGTAGGCGAACAAGGAAGTGGGGAATAAAAACGGCTTTCTTTATGGATGAGCAGGTGAGTTTTCTTGATTCGTTAGTCTGAACTTGGTTGTAAAGTTGATAACCTACTCTGATGATGTTCGCCATACGAGGGACAAAAGCTTAGGACGTATTGACCGGAATCGAAGAAGATTTCCCCGAAAACAACGTCACCAAGAATATACGAGTAAAGCCAATTAACATTCATCCAAGAGGAATCCGCCGTCGTCTTCTAGTGGGTTAGACCATCGAATCTCTTCTCCAAACACTTTTACTCTAAATGGAAGTAAGCTCAACAATTATAAAACAAGGGATTCCTTGAAGCCTAAATTTTCTACGCATTTAATAGGGTATTTAGGCTGACGAGATATCCTCACTCGTTTAGGATAAAAACGTGCTGAGCTTATGTCCATCTCATGATTGAAAGTATCAGAGCTGGAACTCATTCTTGTAAAAATCTCACATTAAAACTAGGTGAAGGAGACAGTTCGACTCTATGTAACCTCTTATATATACTCAAGGCTTACTGACTCAAGAAAAAACCCAGACCGAGACTGCGTAAGTGGATGAGCAATTATGGCTGAGATAATGAGATTTAAGCTTGTAAGCATGTAAGTCAGGTTAAGAAACCACCTGCCATAACATCTCAATGAAGGATAATGAAGGTTTAAACACACAAGGAAAGACAAAACTGGAGCTGTGTAATTAAATACGTCTGGTTTGGATGATAAGCCTTATCTAACAGGTTGGACGAGTGTAAGTGAAGTTGGAATCATCACTGGGCGGAAAAGTTAATCGCCTTCTTTTGGATGGCGACTCAAGATCATGTCTTCTCCAAATTTAATTAGAGCATAAATAGTTCTTTAGAACTTGTTTTCGCAACTTGGTCATATTGGCGGGAAGACTTAGAGAAATGCACCTTGTCCGGATCCCATAGTATGCATGCTAATTTCAAGTCGGACTGTAGAATTGGTACATTTTCAGACGTTTCACCAACATTCGAGTAGGCATCAGCAGTGAGAGACGCCATCGTTAGCACGTAGTCACAACCTATCAGTGACAAGTCAAAGCAATCCCCTCAAACAATTTTATGTTCAACTGTCGTGGCAACACTCCTCACTGCTATTTTTGTCCTAGCCTCTAGTGCTGCATCTCTTTCTCCCAACCCCAATTCATATGGCCCATTTACTCATTCACATAGTTCTGTATCCTCGTTTTCTCCCATGTTGCCTGAGAATGTGTCACTAGAGGTGGATTTAGTTAAGCGTATTATTTCCAACACCTATTTCAGATGCCGAAGCTCTAACCAAGTTGCGAAAACTAGGTAAGACCAATACAATAGCAATTGTTGCCTAAATGCTACTATAAAAAGAAAGACTTTCCTCAAATATAAATGATATTAAGAAAGGATTTACCCACCTTGTCGAAGTTACTGGTGTCAATGCGAGATCGAACTTTAGGTCTGAACGGCGGTCGGATTCGACGCTCCTCAAGAATGACCCAATCAATATCCTTAAAGAAAGGGTGATGCTGAATTGCTGCTTCACCCCCTTCTGAAGCGACGCAGCCCAAACGCTTTGTAGGAGATTTGCGAAGAAACTTTAAAGCAACGCATAGACAAGGAGACTATATTATCTTTAAAATGCATAATTTTTAAGCGAAGCAACTGTATAAGTAATTCTTTTCCGATTTCGCCACCCTCGAAATGTTAGGTTTTTAGTGACCCAATAATAAAGAAAGTAATCTGCCTATAAAGCTAATAAATAAATGGAGTGGAGTTTACATTAAATAAAAAAATGAATAATGATAGTTTGATACATATTCATAAACTAATACTAGGTTGTCTTTCATTTAAAGCTAAACGAAATTATTAATAGAATAAGGTAAAACTGGCTTTTAATAATATATTTAAGGAAAGCGAATACTTTAAATGGTACATATGCAGACCAAGATGGTATGGCCTTTGATTTGGTATGTGTATTTAAAAAGGTTTCGAGAGAAAATAAGGTATAAGAAAGTATATACAAGTATGGGCCCTTGCTTAAAATATACTAGCTGTGTGAAGTACAGAAACTCAACAGTTATATGAAATGTAGTCTTGAAAGACTGCTTATAAACGAAAAACTCAATATGTCTTCATAACGGCATGTCAGACACAAATCCACTTAAATGGACTGCCAAAACAGTCTTAAGAAGAGCCTCTTTCTGTTTTTGGTTAGACCAAACTAAAATGTAC